TAAGGAAAAACGATTTCGCAACATTCGATATCGTAATCTAACGAAGAAAACTCTATGAATACTCTCGAGACTTACTGTGGGAGTTTTAAGGTTTTCTAGGAAGAAAAGTTTTCGCAGAAAAAAAAATTGAAGAAGATGACTGTTTGCGCGCGCGGTTTTATAGAACCGAAAATCGGCGGTTAATAAACCGAAGGGATGCGATTGATATTCATTTTGGTTGGGTCGCAATTGTTCGGTTAACATGAACCGAATGGTTGCGATTTTTCAATTAAAGTTTTAATAAAAATTTTCCCCAAAAAGAATAGTCTTTGATGGACCCCAAGCCCAAGCCCGAGCCCGGTTCGGTACGGCGCGCGTGTGGGCTTCCCTTGGTTCCTTCATGGTGCATGTGTGTCCTTGTAATGTTTTGAACTCTACACAAGCTCACCCTTATATATACACTACCAAAATGTCACAAACTTTAGATGTGGGACATTTTAAGTGTGCATTCATTAAACCAACATAAGGGCTTTCCCATTTAGCCCAAAAACCTTATCTCATTTCACCTTCATATTTTAAACCCATTTTTTCATACCCAAATGTCTATAACAAGCCCATTTGATTTTAATAAAAATTGGTTCCAACAGATGAAACGTTAAGTGTGTGTATATGAGACGTCTAGTCTAGCTGCTGCTTTACACAATCAAGCCATTGAAGCCAGACTTAAAATGGTTGGAGTTGGAGTGTTTATCATCAGACAAGGTTTCTTCCAGAACATGTTCTTCTCAAGTTATTTCACTTTTTTTGTTGATTTTCCATACTATGACAAGACTCACTCTTGTGTTTGAAGGAGTGTGATGGGAAACCTAAGATCAATTATGTCACTGTGTTTGAGCGTCCAGGATTAAACGAGGTCCTAGAGAAACTTAGCCAATTTGCTGATCTTGTTCTATTTACTGCCGATTTTGAAGGTCTCTTGAGTTACAACGTCCAGTGTTATTCTCTGTTCTCAAATATATAATTTCACCATTTACTTTGGCCCAAGAGATTTGGCTTTGGTTTGGTCAACACTTACAAATCTCAAATCTCTCTTCGCTTCCAAATCTGAGAGCAATGACCAATGGCGTATCGTACACCGTTTCCAGGTTTGACGACTTATGTGTCCTAATCGGGTTTCTTAGGTCGGAGAATTTGAATTATTAGAAGAGTGGTCGTTTTAGAAGTAGATCAAGTATGTATTAGTTATCGCATGACATTGAGATGAATGCTCTTGGAATCTTGGACCTAATTCTTTTTTTTTTTTGGCCAAAACTAATGGAACTTTTACTTACCGAGTACTTTGTGCCTAAACCCAAATACTGACCTATAATGGTCAAGTGAAAATGAAACACTTCGAATTTGTGATATTTTGATTATACAGTAGTAATATGTTTTATGGTAAATCGTTTAAGAAATCCAATTGTGTTGTGTTAATTAAATGACAAACCATATTTTTCATATAGAGGAGTATTTAAATCAACGAAAATATTATCAAATGTATCTTCAATTACTGGTACTAATATTTGTATAATATACAAAATAATTAATATATACTAGAAGATATGTAGAGATTTAGTCATAAATGTTAATGGCATGAGATGTAATTTGTTAACCAATTAAAGACTGTTTCAGTTAATAATATATAGATGCATGATAGGGAAAAATCTTCAGAAAAGTTAGGTTTGGATCGTTAGCCAAATCAAAATTTTATGCAACTCTATTGAGGTTCTGCAAATCGCAAAATCTGAGAAGGGTATAACTATTCAAACCGAAAGTGAAGTGGACCAAAGTATAATCATATCAGTAGATATGATCATATAGTATAGAATGTAAATTATTTTCTCAATCTTCATAATCACATCTTTTTGACTTTTGAATTATTTATGAGTTTTTAGTGATTTACACCACATGAATTAGATCCATCATCCATTGTTATCGTTTCTATCTTTATGGTCCTCGCATGAATTGTCATTATATAGTTCAATATAAATATAAAGCATCGATCAGTCATATTTATTTCGTTCGTTGGTCCTAATGATGGCAAAAAAATAAATTAAAGAACGTAACAAAAATATCGACCAAGACTTGAAGCATAATCGTTTGTATTAGCTTATTTTCTGTATTTTAAATTGATTTCAAATTTGGAAGTGAGCATGTGTGAATTGTTAACGGAAGAAAATAATTTGGAGGGCTAACTAAATAATATTTATTTGAGTGTATGTAAGTATGATATGAGTGTAAACTCCAAAAGAATAATTTGC